ACAGAACCAGAGCTGTAACAGAACCAGAGCTGAAACAGAACCAGAGCTGAAACAGAACCAGAGCTGAAACAGAACCTGGGCAGAGTGTTTTTATTCCTCTTTTTCCAGAAGAGCATTGCTGGTCCTGGTTGTAGGACCGGGACAGAGCTGAGCTCTGACTGGGTGATAAATGTGGCTGATTTACGGCGCCTGTCCGGCCCTCAGACTGACCGGTGGCGTGTTATCAGAGTGGGCCAGCAGGCTGCCCAGTGCAGGGCTGGAGTCTGATAGCAGGCCCTTATCATCCCGGAGCACTCACAGCTGGCTCCTGGTCAGAGAGGCGCCTCCTCCCGTTTAATGCTCGCATTATCAGTGAGCTGAAGCAGAAGCAGTCCTTTTCCCGTCATGTCCAGCGTTTAGTGCATCTCCAAATGCAGAAAAAAGCTTAGAGATGAACGGAAATACACTGACTATTGTTTCATCTCAGAGAGGACAAACGGATTCCTCTCTGCCCACAGCTGCCCCCACGACAGGCTGAGCGGAGGATGACCCAAAGGAGCCTCCAGTTCAGGCTGCCAGGCCAAAGCCAGGCTCTGTGGTGGGATGGGGAAGTAGCAGGGCCCTTCAGAGGAGTGGAAATGAGCTCATTAATGCAGTGATGCAGTATTAATGTGGCATTAATGCAGAAACACACTTTACAGCCAAACAGGGTGCCTTCAAGAATACATCCTTTGTAGGAAAAACACCTCCACACAGAGGCTGAGGAGGGAGAGAGGAAGAGGGTACAGGCCGGACTGTCTATTGGACAATAGAAAATCATAGAGAAGTCATTTGAATCTCATCGCCCCCTGCTGGCTGGCATCATCACCAGCAGTGATCCCCAAAACTCCTAGAGAGGCTCCTCTGTGGTCCATTTTTCACTAAAAGCATCTAAAGCCCTCCGTCAGCTCCTGAAAGCGGAGTTTCAGCTTTTGTTAAAGCAGAGTTTCAGCATTTTAAAGCAGAGTTTCAGCTTTTGTTAAAGCAGAGTTTCAGCATTTTAAAGTAGAGTTTTAGCTTTTGAAAGCAGAGTTTCAGATTCTGAAAGCAGACTCAGCTCAAAGCAGACCCAGCTGGCCCCTCACAGCTCCGGGTGTGTCGTAGGTGGTGGCCGACACCAACATCAGCGCGGTCACCTCTCAGGTGGAGAGTCTGTCCGGTGGCGGGGGCCTTCCAGCCAGCAGCGACACGCCGTGTGCAGCCGAGCCGGAGTGAGTACACGCTGTCCTGTGATACCGTACCAGCTCCTGAAGCCCTGATCCAGAACCTGCCCCCCTTCCCCCCCCTCCTCAGGGGTCCGAGGCCCCGCTCCATCAGCCTGGAGAAGGGCTCCGAGGGCCTGGGCTTCAGCATCGTCGGAGGCTTTGGGAGTCCCCACGGAGACCTGCCCATCTACGTCAAGACCGTGTTCAGCAAGGTGGGAGCCATCGGGCGGGGGGGGGGGGGGCACGGGGGGACAGTTAGCTGGAAAGCTAACTGTCTTCCCAGTCCAGCTAACTAGACTGGGTTTAGTTCTTTACATTTTTTGATTGGCTTTAACCCAACTGATGTAAAATTGTGTCTACTTTGTAAGTCGCTTTGGATAAAAGCGTCTGGATCCGGAATCATAAATCAGCCCCAGGAGCCCCCCCTGTGCTCTGACTGAGGCTCTGGCTGTGTCTGGCGGTGCGTTGCAGGGCGCGGCGGCGGCGGACGGGCGGCTGAAGCGTGGCGACCAGATCCTGGCGGTGAACGGGGAGAGCCTGCAGGGCGCCACTCACGAGCAGGCCGTGGCGCTCCTGAAGAGGCAGCGGGGGGCCGTCACGCTGGACATCCTGTCCTAAGGCACACGCCCACAACTCCCACACTCTGGGTCACGTCCAGGCCACTGTTCCCTCCTAACACGCCCCCAGAAACACAGGTGGGCGGGAAGGGTTCCCAGCTGCTGGCCTGGACTCTAAGCGGATCTGCCTCCTCCATCTCAGACTTCAGTTTGGTCTTTAAATCCTTTGCTCTGCTTTCCCATAAAAAGCTTCTGGAATCATGGAGCCCAATGGGACCTCCTGAAGAACAAGTTCATGTTAGGGATTGTAGGACGTTGCTAAAGGAAATGATCCCTTCTTAGAGTGGATGGCGCGGTCATTCAGCAGCTAGAAAAAGAAGCAAATCACACCCAGACATGAAGCTGAGTTAGTCTGATCATTTAAGGAAGTGTAAGTTTTAGGAATTGTACTTTGTTAGACTGGATCTCCCTGATTGGTTTTATAGTGCTTCTGAGAGGGAAAGCTGCGCCATTCAGGTTAAAACAGGTCTGAACTCTAAAGAAACAGACGCGTTTTGTTGGGTTTAATGAAACAGGACTCTTAGTTCAGGCACTGACTGCACAAAACACTTTAAGTTCAGCTTTTTTTTTTCTTACAAACGAACCAAAAGCAGAAAGCTTCCTTAAACCTGCTCTAAGACTTCAGACACCAGCAGCATTCTTCTGATACAGCCTCTCCATCAGTGTGACCCTCACCTGCTGATCCTGGAGCAGCTTCCTGTTTCCTGTTCAGGAAGGAGGCCGACAGCTTTCTGCTCCTCTGACTTGGAGACAGTTTTTAGCATGAATGCTTAACTTTGCAACCTTTGAAGGAATTATCTGAGTGTTTTCTGCTGTTTAGGGTTTGCTGCAGTTGGCCCTTATACAGAAACAGCTTCATTTAAAACAGACTGCTGGAGTTCGTTTAGCTAGCGCTAAAGCTAGCGGCTCCTTTTTGGGGGGGCTCTGATATAAATCTGACTGAGGGGCTCTGGATGTCTGCGGAGCCCAGAATCTAAATGTCCTCTAGAGGGAGAACTCTTATAATATTTCACCAGCACATTCCTTTTTTTTGTCATGATTCTTGTCTTAATTGTTTTGTAGATGAACTCTAATTTATTTTGGATTGAATGGAGATGGAGGCTGGGATGTCCAGCAGAGGTTTCGTCTCATGAAGTCTTCACGTAAAACTCTGATGTCTTTAGATGAATCATTAATGAATAGACTGAGACTTTCTTGGAAGGATAACTTCTTTAATTAAGAGCCGATAAATGCACAGAATTATACTTTTTAAGCAGAAAACTAAATAAAGTACATTAGAAAACATGTCTTTGTGCTGCGTCAGAACTGTTTGGTAACTAATATAAAAAAAAGCCGCCTGGGCCTTTTTTCTACAGAAAAACACAGAAGGGAAACCTGGAAACTTCCTTTTTTTTAGGGAAACAGAAGAGTTTCCAAAATGGCTGCCACACAACCGGGATGTCTTTGGGCAGGAGACGAGTAAGTAACCGGTTCAGAGGAATAAAGGTCTGCTGGGACTCAGGAGGGTTTCCCTCCCATTTCCCACCTCACACCTTTGGTTCCTCACAGAGCAGAATCTGGCCTCTGGATGCCTCTAAACCTGGATGCCAAAACAATTGAATGAGGGATGAGGTGGGCGGAGCTTAATGAGCCACAGCTGTACAGATGTGGCTGCTCCGTGGCTTTCCCTTTTACAGGAAACAAAGTTAGATAGTAAAAACTCAGCTCTCTCTTCCCAGCGTGTTAATTATTGATTGTAGGATTCACTGCTCACTCACTCGCTGACACAGTAACTTATAAGAAAAGATGACTCATTAACCAGCACAGCTACAGAAAGGTTAACACGGGAGAAGCAAACAAGCTGCATGTCCCACTTTGATTCACTTATCACTTTGTGTTAAGAAACATGAACAATCAAAGTCACATGACACTTCAGTGAGGTTCAGATGATCTGCTACACTGAATTTAGACTTTTAGGGTCCGTGTGGATCACCAGGCGGCCAATCGGATGGAGGCTGGCGGTCACATGGGCGTGACTCTCTCCTCGCTGCTGTCGACCCCCATGTTTGTGTACACGTTCCTGCTGTCCTTATTCCTGAGTCACAAACACAGCGGCACTCATAACTCCTCTAACTCTTTACAGGAGCAAGAAGTGACGAGGTTTATGGTGTTTTCAGAGTCCACAAATCAATACAGGACTAACCACACAAAGCCGATTGATTTAGGAGTCCAGATCAGCCTCATTCCTCTCCTCCTTTAACCCTCTAAAGTCTTCCAGAGCAGCTTTCTGAAGTTGTCTGGGTTTTTCTTCTTTTCTCTGCTTTCTCTCCTTTTTAGTCCACTGCTCTTAGCTGAGCATTTTCATCTTTCAGGCAGAAACAGCCCCTAACTCAAGGGCTGAGCCCCTCTATAGAATAGAAACAGGCCCCTAACTCAAGGGCTGACCCCTCTATAGAACAGAAACAGGCCCCTAACTCAAGGGCTGAGCCCCTCTATAGAACAGAAACAGCCCCTAACTCAAGGGCTGACCCCTCTATAGAACAGAAACAGCCCCTAACTCAAGGGCTGAGCCCCT